GGAGACAAAAGAAGAAGAAAAAGGAGACAGAGGAAGAAGAAAAAGGATAAAAAAAAGAAACAAAAGAAAAAGACAAAAAGGAGACAGAAGAAGAAGTAAAAGGAACAAAAGAAGGAGAAAAAAGGAGACAAAAAGGAGACAAAAGGAGACAAAAGAAGAAGAAAAAGGAGACAGAAGAAGAAGAAAAAGGAGACAGACGAAGAAGAAGGAGACAAAAGGAGACAAAAGAAGAAAAAGAAAGAAGAAAAAGAAGAAAAAGAAAGAAGAAAAAGGAGACAAAAAAAGAAAAAGGAGACAGCAGTGTGTGTATGTGTATGCTGACTTGACTTGCAGCTGTCTGGCGTTGTGGGCGACGTGTTCCATAACGAGGCCCCCGAAGGGGCCCCTCGGCTCCCCTTCTGCTGCTGTACCCATCGGGGGGCCCCCTGCAGCAGGGGGGCTCAGCATCTTTGACCCTGCTGCTGCTGCTCCTGCTGCTCCTGCTGCTCCTGCTGCTGCTGCTGCTGCTGATGGCGGTGGTGGTGGTGATGGTGGTGATGGTGGTGGTGGTGGTGCGGGGGGGGGGCTGTGCTGCTGCTGATGGTGGTCCTATTTATGCTGCTCTTGCTGCTGCTCTGGCTGCTGCTGCTGCTGATGCTCGAGCAGCAAAGGATGCTGCTGCTGCTCCTTTTAATTGGAGTTATATAACAAAGAAAATATATATTTGTGTATCGATGATAAAAAAAAAAAAATACAGCAGCAGACAACAAACCCCTCAGGGGCCCCCCGCCAGATCTACCCTGGGGGCCCCCCTACCGAGGCCCTCTTACCCTAAACCCTAAACCCTAAACCCTAAACCCTAAACCCTAAACCCTAAACCCTAATCTACATATTATTATTGTGTATATTATAAACCCTCAGTTTGTTATCTGTTTTCTAGCGGGAGTACTTCTCACTTTTTCTGCTGCCTGCAGCTGCTGCTGCTGCTGCNCTGCAGCTGCTGCTGCTGCTGCTGCAGGGCCCCCAGCCTTCTCTAGCATTGCGAGCTGCCTGCAGCAACCCTGCTGCTGCTGGGGGGCCCCCCGCTGCGTTTGTCTTGGGGCCCCTCCCTCGGGGGGGCCTCTGCCTCCCTCTCAGCCGCACCCAGCAGCAGCAGCAGCACGTGAGAGCAGCAACAGCAGCAGCAGCAGCAGGAGGAAGCCAAGAAGGGGGGGCCCCCGAAGGGCCCCCTGGGGGGGCCCCGGGGGGGCCCCCAGGGGGGCCCCCAGCATCTCTTTCTGAGGCCCTTGACACTGCAGCAGATGCACACATAAGACAGTCTGTTGCTGCTGCAGCAGAAGGGGGAGATGGTATTGTATCTATCAGCTCAAAAACAGAAGACGAGACAGCAGCAGAAGCAGCAGCACATGCTGCTGCTGCTGCTGCTGGCAATGCAGCAGCAACACCAGAGGCCCTAATGAGGTCCGCCAGAACATTCGATCCAGCAAACCCTCACCTATGGCCTCGAGGCCCCCG